CACAAAATGAAAATAAACAAAATAAAATTCATATCATTTTGGTATCCAAACATACTTTTGTTAGATATATCTGTAATTAATATACTAAACTGAAAAGCTGAAGCAAAAATCAAGCCTTTCTATTGTTGCAAGCATGTTTATTAATACGACAACCATTTCACAAACAGGATCTCAGATAGAAAGTACACTATAAAACAAAAGCTTACAAAATTACCAAATATCTATTCAAAAGAGTACATGTAATATAAGTATCTACTTGTAATATAAGTATCTATTTGTGAAGGGTAAACTATTCTTTTTTTTTGTCTTCAGTTGATTTCAGGATGAAGCGCAATTTTTTTTTTCTGCATAGTACATTTTTCTTATTTCAGAACATAATAGAATATGATATGATAATTACAATAATAATCCTAAGTTATACAATCAAAGGAATCGCACTGAATTACAAACCTTGCTTCTAGTCTGTTGTATAATATGGTATTATCTGTTCTCAGGACAAAGATGAGATCAAACCACCTTTCTGGAAAAAACTCACAGCTATGATAATCCACCACACAGTTTCCGTCACGTAAAATATTTTCCAGTTCGTCAATTACCTGTAAATATCAGTGAGTTAGTCAGAAAATAATGTTTTGAGTTGAGATAATTTTACTGTATTGCAGTCTGATTATTAAAGGATGGTCACGGTAAACACATTTTTAGGACAGGAATTACTTGAAACTTGATATATTATTCTTTGTGATTAACTATTTCCAATTGAGGAAAAATTGTGGGTACCCAAACTAGTTTTTCAATAATGAGCTCAACTGTATTTATTTTTGTGTATTATTACTAGTTGGGAAATTGACAAGAAAACAAGTTTGGGTACCCAGGATTTTATTTGCCCTTTTAATTGATGGTAGCATACATTCATATCAAGAATTTTTAGTGCTTTTAAAATTGTATTGTCAGCAAAACTTTGTTGAAAGTTTTTTCAATTTTGAGTAACTTGACCAGAATCTGAGAGTTACAGCTTTTGTGAGATATACTACTGTGAAAGGGTTAATTATTCACTGGGTTTTAACTTTGCTTATTTCGCTGACTGGAAAATACATGTACGCTAAATTAACACATTATCTAAATTATAAAACGGTTAATTCAAAACCCTGAATATGCCTGAAATGCTAAATCAGCGAAATTTAAATCTAGTGAAAATTAATCATTTTACAGTAATCAAAAGCAGGCTGTTTATCGACTAAATTATTTATTGTCTTCACTACAATAATTCCCATCATGTATTGCTGTTTGAAATCTATCACACAAGTTCAGACACAGTGATAACACGAGTAAAATAGCAGTAGGCCCTAATGGCAATACAGGAAACAACTTGAAGTCTGGTGTATATATCACATCGAACACTGAGAATTCTGCATGTGATTCAGTGACTTGATGACACCCTAAAATATTGAAAACTCATTCAAAGCAGAATCTATAGAATTGTTCATTGACGATTAGTTATTGGTAAGGCAGATATCATTTGAATAATGTTGCTTTTGCATTTATCACAGTACACATATAACTTAACATGTAAAAGACTTCAAACAAAATATTACCAACAATACAACTTCAAAATGTCCATATTTGTTGTTTTCACTTGTAATTTATTTTGACTGAAGGGCTGAGTCAGTGAAAATAAAATCCGGTGAAAATCCTTTGTTTTCAGTTAAAATAAATGTCAAGTATTTTACAGTAAGGGACGACGTCAAAAGATCAATGTCGGATAAAAAACTTATTTCCTTTAGTTTGGGGGTGGGGGTTTTGACCTCAAAAAGTTTCCATCAAAGTCAAAAAAATCTTGGAGTATTTGTAGTTCTATCCAATCATGGACAGAAATAACCAAAAAGGGAAAAAAAACAGAAAAATGGTTTGGTTCCAGTGTAAATCTGTGCGTCAAATGAGGTGCATTTGTAAACTCTTTTTACACCCACCCGACAACCAACTGCTATGCAATACTACTGTCCGATTATCAATTTGTATTTAATGGTGAATGTAGTCTGACGCCATGACCAATATTTATCAATTAAGTTTCAGTGGGGGGTAGAGGGGTTTTCGGAAAAAAACTAAAGGAATTAAGTTTTTTATTCGACATCGATCTTTTGACGTCGTCCCTAACAGCTGCATTATTCCAATATTCCCTAAAATCAGATCATAGGGGATGTGATCACTTTTATAACTACAGTGTATTACCGGTATATGGATGTATTGATGTATTGTACATTTCCTCTTTTTGTAAATGATTTAATTGTTGATTTCTAATCATTTATGTACCAGTCAATTAAAACTTTAATCCTTATAGAGCAGGGATATGTACAGTACAGGATGACTATCTCCAGAACAAGTCTCACCATTCCCTACATAGAGAAGTCGAGAGCTGCACAAGCCCAGCTAAATATAAGGGGTAACAATGTCCCCGGCCTTGGGTTTAGGGTTTTATTTGACTAGTGCATCACTTCTATGTAGTTGTATAGAGGAAAAAACATGAAAACTGTCATTATTTACATCTGTAGTTAAACCATGATTATGTTCA